ACAGATGTGTACACATACGGGGTTAGTTGTATTTCGTTTCACCTGTTGTGGAATCACCGCACGACTTCTTCCCAAGAACAAATACCACAACTGAAAAAAGTGGCTTTTCCTCTTGTATCCTTCCCAGGGAGACGAAGGTAATGACAGACTTGTACGCCGGTTGGACCCCTGCAATTCAATGTGAAGGTCACTTCGAATTCAATAAGCCACTACCATTGTATGGAAAACGAATGCGTGCCGCAACCCAATAAGGGATTGATCAACGGTAATCACACATCCCTTTGTCTAGAAGCTCCAGCTGCCATACAGCCATACCGCCGCCTTCATCCACGTCTTGACAAAGGCAAGTATGAACATTGTGTCGACTCACTGGACGACCGCAAGGTCTCGATCATGCATGGGGACTTTGAGGCAGCGTTCAAACTTCGCGAGGCAGCGCTTTGGCCGCACACTCGACACAATTGATCGCTCCTGCGTCGACTGCGTCGATCGCGCAAGCGTTCGGCTGCGTCGCACTTCTGATCTAATGGTAAGCTTAAATGCTAGAATTAAATGGATAGCTGAATCAAGAAAAATGTGATGAATGAAGCATTGAGTGTACTGTTACTAACATCACACCAAATTGAACGGTGTCTAGTGCAGAGTATATAGAGGACAGGGTTCTGCAAACCGCTCCCAGAAGATGGCTAGTCTGGTGTACCTGACTGCTGCACGACGAAACTGTGCTAATACGAGTCACTCGCGAAATAAGATCCCGCACACTAAACGCTTATCGGAAGATCAACTAGAAAAAATCAAAAAATTGCTCGCGCTGACTACAACCCTCTCAAAACGGCCAGAATACGATCTTCCTCTGGTTGAAAATGGCTTCTGTGCCCTGTTAGTGCACAGCGGATGCAAACAGAAGAGTTTGTATGGAAATATGCTAGAAAACGGAAAACAAAATGAAATAAAAAGCAATTGTTCGAGACTTTGTTTTCTTATTTGAAGAAGAAAACAAGTTGCAGGATTTTCGAACAAATGTTGCAAAGCCATCATGTGACACTAGTGCACTAACGAAGTCGCCTTTTTAGATACTTATTTATGAAATTTATTCGGGTATGGAGCCCTACCATAATATTTCAAGTGCGAATATCAAAAGCACGGTGAATGTTACTTTTCTTTTTTACTAATCTGACATAGGCTACGCACGAAACAGCGTGTGTCCCCCGCTGTATACACCAATCTTTTCATTTTTATCGTATTTTGGAAAGGAGGCAATCTATCAACCCTACTTCTTCAGGAACAAACTGTACACTCACCTTTACGGATGGTTCTTGCCGTCGGCTAGGCCAATGGGTCCGCAGCTACAGTAGCGTGCAACTCGAAAGTGCACGCGAAGGAAGCTGAAGGGTTGTGGTACCGGAGCGCTGTCTTCATACTCCGCCCGCTTTATCCCAAGGTGCCTGCATGGATACCGATGTTCCGCAGCTGCAGAGAATAATCAGAAGTGAGAAAGCGCTGATAAGTAGCACGTCTGGCTAACATCACGTTTAGCTGGCCGTGCGGCAACGCGAGAGGGAACATGGTGTTGGCAGTGGGGTATCACTACCTCCAACACATTCCTTCTCACTAATGACGTTAAAGTGGCACGCTACCGTGGCTGCGGCCCATTCACATCACACACGGCAGGGGCCACGATCCACAGTGTACAGTTCGTCCTTGAATAACATTTTTTGCGGCTCTGGTGCATTGTTTCGGGGTAACACCCTCAGGAACCAGTCTCAAGAGGGATAAAGGGCGTTAATGAAATTCCAGTGAAAGTACATAAAGCAAAAGCTGAAGAAATGGTTCTAGATTTCAAAGTGAACTCATCATAACATGGAGGAAATTGATATTGATGACCAGGGTTAGGAGTGCATCGCGGATATCACTGACACTATTTGTGATGCTGTAGGCTAAAGGAACTCCCTTGCTCCAACGACAACTCGCAAACGGTAAAGCAGCTTGGGAATCACCGCGCCGTCTGTCGTACGGTTGGCTGCGCGCGATGGCCACTAATTCACCACAGCATCGCCATCTCCCAGATAAGAGTAGATATAGAGTGCACAAGTGTAGCACAGGTGATTATGAGTGTGTATATTTTCAAGACAAACTGTAAATTCAACTCCTATGATGATCCTCGCTATGAGCACGAAGATCTGAAACCAGCTGTATAACACTTCTTCACTTGAGAGCGCACACAAATATGGTTGATGGCTCTGCGGGTGCTGGGGCGCGTCACGTGGGTGCTACATTTGGCGTGGCGTCAGGCTGCTCTTCACCGCTTGTGGAAGCGGGCGAATGGCAACGGTTGGTAGAAAATAGACTGGCACCGTGTCAAACCCAGTACCCAGAACTAAATGCCAAACGAACATTTCACATCAGCGAGGGGCGAACGGTCGCGTCGCGGTCATTGCGCTGGAGCGCTTTGAATGTGGCGGGAGCAGCTGAGTGCTCCTTTGGATTTTGCAATTCATGGTGACGTGCTAGAGTGGTAATGCCATCATTATCGTCAGTGAGGCCGCGTTTGTACGAAGCAGTTTCCGCGGAATCGCGAACTCCGCAGATCGTGCGGAATCTGTATA